CTCTCCAGTACAGGTTAGCTCTGAGTGTTAGCGATGCTAATGTAAACACCGACCATATTACGTCCAAAACAGTCGGGCATTGTTTCTGATAGCAACGTTTCTGATAGGGCCGTGGGTCCACATTTCAGATATGACGTCATATCGGACGCAAATCTGGATCAGCGCCGTTGTAGCCCCGTTTTTAGAGATTTGGGTAAGGAGGAAAAGAGAGAGGGTTTTATTTTCTGACGCTGCGTGAGTTCCCCGACACACCGGGGACACATTTTTATGTATCAAAGACATCAAAAAGTTTGCATGATAGGTCCCCTTTAAAACTAACTAACAAAAATAAAAAACTTCCAATTAAATATATTCAATATTTTCAATCCTTTACATTTGTATTGCCAAAATTAGTAATTGATTTGTGGATCTTTTACAGATATTCCCTTAAGACCTCAGTTACCCACCAGTGTAGGTCATCTGCTGGGTGTAAACCTTCCCCAGAGTGTGTGTGGCTCCTGCTGCGGTGCGCCGGCACACAGTGGCTCCTTCAGGACATCCTGTGAGCCCGCCGTGGATCCCCTGACACAGGTTGATGTAGTACCTGAACAACACACAGGAGAGAGGTACGGTAAGTTTATTTATATAGCACATTTTCAGGAGGCAATTCTATAGGCGCGTTCACACCAAGTACTTTTCCCACAAAGGTTCATGAGAACTCTTTAGTTCTCATGAACTAAGTACAGATCGCGTTCACACCGGAAATTAGTCCCAGGGGGAGGATTAGGCAAATTAAACCGCTGACGTCACTTCTTCTTCTTCTGCTTTGGGTTTACTGGCAGGCCGCAAACAACTTCACGGCGTATACTGCCGCCCGAATCCCCGGCCGGAAGTCCCCGGAGTTGGGGACTGGCTTCAGTAGAAGCTGCTGGGACTCCCAGCAGCTTCTACTGAAGCCTTCCGAGTAAATCGCCAGAACGCCGACACCTCCTCATCTTCCCCGCTCCCATGTTTTTATTTTGTGTTGTCATAAGTTAGTCTCTCTGCGTTTCTGCGCTGGGCTAATGCTAATGCTAATAATGCAATGCAAGGATAATAAAATGGCGGCTTCACAAACGTTTTTGAGAGTTTGACGGGAAGTGGTTTGCAATCCGCCCAGCCAATCACACAGGAACCTTTTTCTCCGAGCAGGGACTAAAAAGGGGGTAAAAAAGGTTCTCTAGAACTAATTTAGTTCCTGGGACTTTTTGGTGTGAACGCAACTAAATCGTAGTTCTCAGGAACCTTTGTGGGAAAAGTACTTCGTGTGAACGCGCCTAATGTGCTTTACATCGTCATTAACACTTAATAAGAAGACAACAGAAAGGAGCACAATAAATAAACATAATGGAATAACAGGTTCATAAAAACCATGCATAAAAGACAGTTTAAAAACAACATTGTAAATACAGTAGGTGCTAGAACAAGTTAAAAGACTTCTGGGTAGTTACGTGAGTTACAAGTGATTTTCATTTGGGAGCAGTTGGGTTAAACACGATAACAAAGGGTTTAATACAAGAAAACATGTAGGCGAATTATCACAGATGAGTGAGGGTACACGAGACACAAAAGGTTGGGAACCACTTTGTGAGATCAGACGTACGAGTCTCCGTGGTGGCTGAACCTCCAGGGCTCGGTGAGGGAGGACAGGGTCCGCAGGTCGAAGGTTTGATGCTGGCTGACCAGCTTACACTCCATCTTCACGGGAGGACACACAGCGCTGGTGCGCCACTGGAAGGTGGCCGAACATCCCGCCGTCTCTGAGAGCAGCTTGGGAGAGCCGTGGCCCTCCGACTGATCGCAGCTGAACAGGATGGAGGACTGGCGCTTTCCAGAGGCTGCAGGATTCAAAGATTCAAACGGTTTTATTGTCATGGGCACAAAAAGCTACAGAGTAGAAATGGCAATGAAATTCTTCTGATCTGAGCTCCTCCAACCACTCAACATATATAATGAAATACAAAGTAAAAAGTCAATAGAATATGATGTGTACAAGAACAGAATAGGAAACTAAATAATGTAAATTAAATTAAAAAGTGTATTGCGCTGATAACTATTTATATAAATTAGTTTATTGCAAGATGACAAACAGGAATGTTTATCGGGGCGCTTAGCAGAGCTCAGGTGTTTAGCAGACTGAAGCAGAGACAGAACAGGCAGCATGTTACTCAGAAAGGAGAGAAGGAATGGGGATTTTAATACAATGCAACTCAAAAAACCATTTTGAGAAGGTTGAAACAAATGAGAAAAAGTTGAGGTTTTCTTATTTAGTATCATAAATGAGCACAGATGTTTAACACAGTCAGAGAAACTTGTCATTGTAAGTTAAAACAACTATTGACCTGCTCTGTTAAACTCTTCTGACTAACGGCCCGTCCACACTACAGCTTCAAAAAAAGCTTGGCGGCGGGCGTGTCTGAAGCTCGACCAACAACCAATCACATGAATCTCCCGCCCCTGACACACAAGCAGCGGTTTGATTGGCTAGAGCTTGTACTGGCATATGATTTGATTGGCTGACGCTTCCACCGAAAGCTTCAGAAGCTTCAAAAGTTGAACATTGCTCAACTTTTGCAGCCTGAAACGCCAGGAAAGCTCCGCTCTGCTACCCACAATTCAGTTCGGCGAAAAGCGAGGCAACGTGACGTCACCCCATTCAAAGAAGTACTAGTGGGTTAAGCCCTCTCTTGCAGTGAAATGTCATGTCTACTTACTCAATGTTCATCAGCTACCAACAACGCCCATTTCAAAAGGGCTCTTATAAGACACACCATGTGTTTAGGAAAATGCTTAATTCAAGATTAAATCTGGTACAATTTCCCTGTTTTCTGAGTTTTTTCTTACATAAAGACGAGTCAACAAATATAAGATAAATAAGTGAAACAGAAATGAGCGGTCACCTGCGTTGCAGAACCCCCACTTCTTGTCCGTGTCGTAGTTGGCTGTCGTTGCGCACCACATCCTGCCGTCAGACCTCCCATCTTTGGTGCACTCGGTGTACAACTTCTTCATGAAGGTGAAGGGGAACAAACACACGTCGCCGCCATCTGTCACTACAAAACACAAACAAACATTAAAATACTTTCAAAAAATACTAAAAGAAAGATACAAGGTCCAAATCCAGATTCTTGTCGTTTTAATAAAAACAGCTTAAGTAAAGTAAGTACCTGGTGGGCACGGATCCCCCCCTCCGTACTGCATCAGCACAGCCTCCTCATCGTGTTTGAAGTCCATCGTCATGGCCTTGCTGATCCCAAAAGACGAGGCGGACTGGTCTGAACCAGAACCAGACACCCTGCAGACGGCACTCTGCTTACAGGCCGGCTCTGTCACTGAGCCGCAGACGTTGATGTGGTAAATGCTGGAGTTCACAGGCACCTGACATACAGAGGGTTCACTTTACTACCTTATATCTATAGACGTACACCTAAAGGCAATATGAGGGAACACACGTGAATAACTGGAGTTCATTTTGTCTGACTTTCACGGCAGGGTTTCCGCTAGGATGTTTTCTTGCCGGTCAAATGTCCGGAAATAATTTATTTTACCGGACAAATTTGAAACTTACCGGTCATATTTCAATAATAATAAGAATTGTGTAGCAGAGTTTCCGTTAGCAGGTAATTACCGGACGATGACCGGATATGCTGATGTTTAAAAGTCAGCTAATGGGGCTCATTTTTATATTGCTTCAGTTTATAATCGTAACAGATCGAAAAGTTCAGGTAGAGGTAAAAAACGGTAATTACCGGCTAACGGAAACCCTGCTTCACGGATAAAAAATATGTTATCTACAATAAAAGTATGAACTGAAGGCTTATAACGGCAATTTAAAGTAAATAAATGGGGGAGGGGAGTAATATTACAACATGTAAACTCAGAATTTTCATAAGCTTAATGTTGCTAAAAAAAAAAGGGGGATATTGTTTGGGATTACAAATGTAAAAATTGACGATTTTAGTGAAAATAATTCAAATATACTCAGAGATTATAAACTCATACAATTGAAAGAGAAAACTCTAATAATCTAAGATAAAGAATATATTCATGTACAGCTCAAGTCAGATATATTCTCTGTGAATAGTCACATGGATGAGGCTCACCTGGACTTGGCCAGAGAGGATGGAGAGGTCGAAGGTGAACTGCAGCTGGGAGTCAGTGAGCTGGCAGCCGCTGGTGTCGGTGTGTGTGGCGTCCGAACACACCAGAGGGGTCGCCCACTCGAACAGATACACACACTGCTGCAGCCTCAGCATCTGAGGAGAGCCCTGGAAGAAGATACAAGAGGATAGGTATGGAAGTTAAGAAATGCATTGAAATTGTTTAAAAAACATCGTCAGAGAAGTAAAAAGACCTGTGCATGTGTAGGTAATATCATCTTCTGTTAAAAGGATTATAAACACAACATTTTGATAATGAATGGAACCGTTTATAATAAAGACAAAATATTGAGATTTAAAAAAATAAAAAACTGGAATAATGAGAATAAGTCTACATTTTTAGAATTAAGTCGTACTGCTATTTCAAAAATAATGTAAAAATGTAAAAAATGAATGACTTGAGAATAATTGAGTCAAAGTGTTTCTGAAAATGTAACAACATTTTTTTGGAGAGCCCTGGATAAAGATATAAAAGGATAGGTATGTAAGTTAAGAAATGCATTAAAATTGTTTTGTTTTTTTAAATGTTTTTCTCCAAATGCCAAATAACTAAACTAATCTCCCTCCTCTCATCCCCCCCCCCTTTCTCCCTGTCTCCCCAGTGTCAGACTGACCAGCTCCAGGCCCCTCTGGCAGGTGAAGATGATGGTGGAGGTGTAGTTCTGAGCAGGATCAGCTGCACACTGGGTGGAGCTGCTGTACGTGATGGACACTTCTCCTGAAGCGCTGTTGATCTCAGGACCGCTGGTCGTCCGCCCGATGTCCTTCAGGAGACAGAAAGAGAGTGTTAACGAGAGGAGAGGAAAAAGGAAATGTTATTGAAAGAGACAGGAAAGAGAACACATCACACATTGAGAGAGAGGACAAGAAGGGAGGATCGTTATACAGAAAAACTACGAAAAAGAGGGAAACTGAAAAACACACTTTTTTATTCTGCGCTTCTTACTGCGTGACATTAACACTGACATTTTTATTATGCAGAAGTCAATAAGAAAGTTCTCGTTTTTAGAAATGAATATTGCAACAACTGAAATTTAGAAATACCTGAAGTCGAATTGGAGTCAAATATTTGTCACGGTTTCTTGTAGCCCCTTAAGATCAAGATTAAAAAGATCTACCCAAACTGTATGCAAGATTAAAAAAAGAAAACTAATAAGATAATTAATGCTGTCAAAATTATCGCGTTAACGGTGGTAATTAATTTTTTGAATTAATTGCGTTAAAAATATTTAACGCATGAGCAGAATGTCCCGCCCCATACATCCCACCAGTGGCAGCGCCAGGGTATGGCTGGGGTAGGCTACAGCAATACCAAGAAATGGCTTAGCCCCACCATGAACAATGATGTTAAAGTAAGCTAAATAAAGTCCGCCAACTCGTGGAGTAAATTGCACAGACAGCAGTTAGTAAGATTGATTTCAGTAGCCACTTGTCTGGAAATACCAAAGACTAGAAACGGTTTTGAAAACTTTTGTCACGTAGTGATCGTCTTGTCAATAGAACATCTTTGATAATGTCTTCTGGCCAATCAGAATCAAGATAACGGCGTGGTGTTGTTGCAGGAAGTCCTGACGGAGAATACTTTTGCTGTAGTACATCTCTATATACATCGATACAACATTACGTGTTGATAGAAATCAACACGTAATGAAATAAGACCCCACGGTTTGATGATTGATAGGTGTGAGGGCTGTCTTTCATTTTGACACACAGAACAATGTTATAATAAACATACATACATATGTGTGTTAAATGGATATATCCGCCTTCTTTCATTTATCTTTCCATTCCCACAACAATATACATAAAGAAATGGCATATTTTGGACATAGTTCCAATGGTGATTAATCATGATTACTTAA